AGCCTGAGCAACTTGCCTTGCATATGTCTGTCCCAGGTTTGATCCCCGTCACCACCCCAGATGGTCCCCCAAACACCGCCAGGACTGATCCCTGAGCACAGCGCCAGGAGTAAGCCCTAAGCACCGCTGGTGTGACCCCACAACAAACAGAAACCCTTGTCATGACAGTGGGTTCTGAGAGTCACTTGAATGTGGCATCTGCACAGGGGCACTCATCTCTCCCTTGGCGGTCGCCTCCCCACATCTGAATTCCTTATAGAGCGACACCATCGACCCTCTGTACATGGATGGAATTTGACCTCAGAGTTGGGTTCCCAGCATGAGCACCCTAAGCCATTCATCTCCCTGCACAAGTCATCCCTGCTACAAACCACCCTGGCCATCTTCAGGTTGGCACCCAGCATGCTCAGGGGCTGGTCCTGGCTCTGTGCTCAGGAATCACCCCTAGTGATGCTGAGGATCAAGCCCAGCGGTCTCCAGGTACCTGAGTGACCCGCTGCTCTGTCTCTGGCCCCACCTCCTTCTGATCCTCCCAGTTAACTCTTCCCGCCAAAACGGCCCGGTTCTTTCAGGCTCTGTTCCTTTCCCGTTGATTCAAGACCCAGCATTTGGCCAGACAGTTCTCAAATCTTTCCTGTAGCAGAAAACTAGGCCTTGCTTGTCTGCCAAGGCCGCCCCACCCACCGACTGGCAGCTGACCTATGTCTTTCCCTCATTCCCATCTCTTCTTCCTCACTCTGACGCCGTGCCCTCCAGCCTGCACTGGCACCTTGCTGCATCCCTCCTGCCCAGACCCACACCCTTCAGACTGCCCCGTCTTTTCTGAGGCTTTCCATTCTCTTGCTGGAACCTAAGACAAACCTATGGATTGAATTACTTACACTTCGGTCAGGATTTGAAAGGGACAGGGCACCGTATGCAGTGCTGGGGACCAACGCTGGGCCGGCCACATGGAAGGCAAGCACCTTACCTGCGGCTCTATCTCCCTCGCCCCACGTGGTCAGTTGTTTTGATAGCTACCCTCTCTAGATCAGTACTCGTGGATTTAGTAACCTTTTCTGTCCTCTTCTTTCCTTCACACTGTTCTGAACGCACCTGCACTCTCAGTTCAGCCCGGTCCTGTGTGGGAGTCCTGCCACTGGCCGCCACTCGGTTCCCACCCATTCAGACTCCAGATTCCCCCAGCGTGGACAGGCCTTCCCACTGTTTCCGCCCTCATTCACGCGTGATGCCCCCTCGTGACACCAGCCCTTTCTGAGCCCCTTCCTCGTGGTCTTGCTGTCTTTGCTGCTGATCTCACTGACTGGCATCTCTAGTTAATAAGCAGTGGTACCACTTTCCAGTCAATATGCCAGACACAGTAACAACAAAGTCTCCAACGGAGATGTTACTGGGCCCGCTCGAGCAAATCGATGATCAACGGGAGGGCCTTTACCTTTACCTTTACCACTTTCCAGAATCCCTTGTTTTGGCCCTCTTGCCTGCCCTTCTTGATTCACCCCTTCAGTTCTGCACCCCGTTAAAAATCCTTGCATTTCTGCCTGTTGGCCCTCCTCCCTGTTCCTCTTCGTCCCTTGCAGAGGGACAGTCACTCCCCACCCGTGCTCACGAGGCACGCTACCACAGCGGCCGGCCACAGCACCGTCTGGCTGTCCCTTTGTGAGCCTATCACTTTGCATCTCTCAACACAAGACATGGGTGCAGAGTGCTTCTTTCCCAAGCTGCTTCCCTCCGTCACTGGTCCCCATCCAGTACACTGATCACAACTGCGGTGCAACCATTTCGTCCTATCATTAAGTCACGCCAGTAGCCTTTCCTCAGCATTCCTCAGAACCAGATTCCCCGTCAACTTCCTTGCCAGCCAAGTCTTCCCAGTAACAAGCCCCTCCCCGCCACCCCCACTGCTGCGCCCAGAGCTGCAGAGCTAGCCTCCTGCCACCTCCTGGCCCCTCCACTTCCTGTGCACATCTCCTTGCAGCGGGATCTTTACCCCCAGGTGCAACCCATCAGACCTCTTGGAGGCTCTGGCAGGATTTCCCGTTCCGAATCTGCGTCACGCCTGCTCGGGCCACCCCTACCCAGTACTGCCCTATTTCACTCTTCTCTTTCTTCCTCCATCATTACTTGTGGCCCAGTAGGGTTACCTTTTCCCTTCCAGTGGCTGTCTGTCATTCCTTAGTGACTCCCTGGGGACAGCGTTTTTGCTTTCCTGTACCATTCCTCCTCCGTTCTAGCCCCCATTTCTCCTACAGAACCCTGTGTCCCCCGCGCCACCACCACCACCATTTTCTCCTGCAGACCTTCCTGCACAACAGCCCTCCTGCCCTGTGGCTCTCCTGGGGGTTCCGCACTCTCCTGAGAGGCAAACACCCTTCCTGATCTCTCCTGACCTGCGACAGGTCTTTCCCTTTGACTCTCTCGACTCTTCTACCCTATTGGCCACAACCATTTACTTATATTCCCTCAGAGCTTTCTGGAATCTCCTCAGAGGCCTTTTCTGTGTCACTGCTGCCTCCTCCAGTGTTGGAGAAGCCCCTGGCCTCGCTGGGTGTGCATGCCTCGTTCACACGCCTTGCTCCTCACTGAGCCTCCTGCAACCATCCTTCCTCCGAGTCTGTCAGTCTGACTGAGCCTCCCGCAGGCATCTTTCCTCCAAGTCTGTCAGTACACACATTTCTCCATAGTTCTCTCTCTTCTGCAGCTAATGAGTTGTCAGCTGTTGGAAGACAACTCGTCACACGACAAGCCTCCTTTCTGAGACAAGTGACACTTTCTGAGACAAGTGACACTCCTTTCTGAGACACTTCCGGGCTGCTGCCTCCTGCTCCCCGTGGGCAGTTGCCTGCCCCAGAGCCCCTCCAGGGGTCTGACCAGTGAATTCGGAATTGTTCCCTGACCTGGAAAGGCTCTCTCAGCCCCTCTCCTCATCATCCGCTATTTCCCCATCCTCCTGGCCACACTGATAGTTCTGTGAACTTCCTCTTGAGAGTCCCTGGAACCTCCCATCTCATTATATCAGTCGAATAGCTTAATTAAAACTTCGTCACAAAAGTTTCAGGAAGAGTCGCTCTACCAATTTCACTCCTATTTGTTTTCTAAACCTCTCTTCTCGGTATAATTGTCTCATACACAAGTGTTTACTGTCTTTGGACAACTGCACCAGCATGCCTTAACCTGGGATTTACCTTGGATTCTGACTGTCTCTCTTTATTCCTCTCCCTCGATGCCCTATGCCTCCCGCCTCATGGGAACCACACCGGGCCCATAGGATCATGTGAGAATTAATACTGTCCTGCCTCTTCATCCTTACTTGATCTTGACCTTCCTCTCTACCACAGTTGTGTCTTTATTCTTAAGAAAAATCCCTTTAGTTGTCTATTTCTGTCTTCTTTCCCCTTCTTTCTGCAGAAACCCGACCTGAACTAGACCTCGATAATTTTCTCATTTCCACATAGTATAGAAATATGTGCTGAAGATAAGCTCTTTTCTAAATGGCTGAGCACGTTACCATGCTCTGTTTTCAACACATGCAATTAGATTCATTTACTCTTGAATTCAGACTCAAATATCTGCCATAGGATTCCCACCAGTGGCTCTAATTAGGCACAGTTTTACCTCAGCTTCTCAACTTCTGTCTCCGACTGCTCAGTCCCCAGAGCCCTGGGAAAATACCTCGTCTCCTTCACTTGAAATCTGGGCATTTCACAGCTCCTTCCTAAACAGATCCCTCCTCAACACTTGATCCCAGCATCCATCACTGGACTATCTGCATCTGCCCCTGACTTTCTGCTCATATGCTGCTTCCTAAAGCTGACATCACTGGATATCTAATAAAACTCTTCTGTCTTTCTAAATTCTTTACGATGTATTCAGACTGTTAATCCTGCAATCCCACACACCCTCGATTAAAACTTCTATTGAAGAGCCTCTGGCATTGAGTTATAATATCATAAGTATATAGGTAGATCAGTCTCTCATGTTCTCCCTCTCTCATGTTCTCTCATATTCTCTGTCTCATTCTCATTCTCTCTCTCTCTCTCTCTCTCTCTCTCTCTCTCTCTCTCTCTCTCTTTCTCTCTGTCTCTCACACACACACACACACACTTTCCTCTCACACACACATACACATTCACTCAGGACCTATACGATCAGCACTTGGAGATTAAGGTCATATCTCAGTCCTCTTTTTATCGTCATGTCGAAGGGTCTGGTATATCAGTTTCACCTTTTACATGTAATGTTACCATGTACTGACATTGTCACATGTGTTGAGGGAGGGAAGGGCGGAGGGAGGGAGGGCCCTTAAAGATAAGACTGAGCAGGTGAAAGTCTCAAAACCGAACCTGTTACACACAGCCTTCACATCTGCGTCTGTTCTTTCCCGTCCTTGCTTATCTTCCCAAAACTTGCAAGTCCCTAATCACTACAATGTTTTTTTCCTCTCCATAAGCCTTTTCCAGACCATGACCTAGACTGTAAAAATACCTTTTCTTCATCCGTCTTACAGTCTCTTCCCTCAGGCAGTTCAGAAAATCCTGTTATCATCACAAAGGCGTCACTTTTCACAAAAGGCACCCCCAGCCCCACCCCATTTCTGATCGCCCCACTCAGACCGCAGCGCCTCCTTTCCCCTGGGCTTTCTGGGGTGACTCGGGGCTGACCTCGACTCGGTCACTCGCCAGTTCCGGCAGGTGATCCGGAACATGGCGGGGACACAGAGCTCGTGCTTCCTCCCCTGGGTGGTGCCCGTCGCGCCTGCTCTTGAGGCAGGGCTTGGTGTCTCACAGCTCGGGCAGAAAGCTCCCCAGCGCACCTCTCTAGCTTGCTTCAGGCCGGGATAAGAGAGTGTCCTCCTGTCCACTCTTCAGCCCGCCGCGGGGATGCAGTTTAAAAGTTGGACCAGCCTCTGGGCCGCTGTGGCCGAGTCCCTGGGTGAGCTAGAGCCCTGGCACGGGGCACTGCTGCCTGAGGGTCCTGGCCCCTGACCGCGCCTCCTCTCCCCCCAGTGGCAGCCACCTTCAGCTGCACCATGAAGTTCTCCGTCCGGGACTGCGACCCCGACACTGGGGTCCCCGCTGAGGAGGGCTATGAGGACGAGTACGTGGTGAGTGACACCTCGCCTGCTTCTGGCCTGTACTTAGGGGGCTTCCAGGCGCCAGCCCAGGAGAACCGAGATGGGGACCCACCCTCCGGTACGTCTCTGAAAGGGCGAGCTAAGAGATGTCTCTGCAAGAGACTGCTGCAGCCTAAGGCGCCCTCCCTGGACGGCTAAGGGCAGAAGGAAGGCCCTGGCCAGCCCGAACTCTACAGTTTTGGGGGACAGCACGCCCTCCCACCCCGGGCTGTCAGGGTTAGAATCTGGCTGGCATGAGGCATCCTCCGGCCTCACCCGCCTTTGCAGAGGGCCCTGTGTCCATGTGTCTGTGCTCCAGGGGCAAGCTCAGGGGAGGGCTTGTCAGCCCAGCTCCCACCGGCCACAGCTCTGTCCCACAGTCCCCCCGGCCCTAACAGTCTGATCCTCCCTCACTAGCTGGAAGATCTGGAAGTGACCGTGTCCGACCACATCCAGAAGGTTCTGAAGCCTAACTTCGCTGCGGCCTGGGAAGAAGTGGGTGACGCCTTTGAGAAAGAGGAGACGTTTGCCCTCAGTTCTACCAAAACTCTCGAAGGTGAGAACAGCATTGGGAGTGCCCGACGCGGTATGAGACGTGCCCTCCTCGTTTACTCCAGACGAATCCTCTCCCCTAGAAAGTATGCCACAGCTCCCTCTCCTCTAGCGCCACTGTCGCCCTGACTCTGCATCCGTCTTCCCCACACAGAAGCCGTCAACAACATCATCACCTTCCTGGGCATGCAGCCCTGTGAGAGGTCGGACAAAGTACCTGAGAACAAGAACTCCCACTCCCTCTATCTGGCGGGTAAGGCGTTTCCATCAGATGGCACCCCCTCCCCTGCACTTTGCTGCAAAACCGACTTCCATGCCCTGCTGCCATGTCCGTGTTCCCTTCTCTGCATTGCATTTGATGAAATCCTGTCACAGTTTAATGGGCTCACAGGTGGACAGCAGAATTGGCTGAGCCGTCTAGGATCATTGTTCCCTTTTAAGATGGGTATTTGGCCTGCAGCACCTTACATCTCCCCCACAGATACCAATGCCACCTCCTTGCCCCAGTCAATACTCCGGGTTGACATCATCGACTACTTCCCACGTCCCGGGGAATGTCAAAGACACTGCAGGATGTGTATGCAGGACTCAAGTCCTGCCTCATACAAATACGAATCTCTGGAAAAGCTAAACTCATAGAAAGGAGAAGCAGGTGGGACATGATCATTCCCCGATTCGGAGCTTGTCTCGAGTCCTGAATGTGGCTCTCCTCACTGTTTTTTTTCAGGTGTGTACAGAGGAGGCTCTGACTTACTGGTGAGGTCCCGGCTGGCCTTAGCAGATGGCGTGACCATGCAGGTGGCTGTCAGAAGCCAAGAGGGAACACCGGTAGATGTCATCTTGGCTTCTGTGGGGTAGCTTTCGGTGGGGCGAGATGGAGCTGGCGTGCACGGCCCTGTCAGGGGGCTTTTAGGCTAGTGCATGACCTTCCCAGAATCATACTTCAAAACCGGAATGACTTTGGAGAAGCAAATTAAATTTTTGGCCCTGAGCCAGCAGATCAAGCGAATCTCTGTCCATGTACACAGGTCTGTTTGTTTTGTTTTCTCCTTTTTCTTTTAATTACCCTCAGTCAGCTTTGGTATTAAAGTGCGGCTTTGGGTGATCTTGAAAATCAAATACTAGCCTATACCCCAGCTGCTTAACTCCGTTACGGTCTGTAATCTAATGTGTGTCTGAGAGCTCCTGGCGAGGTGGGGAAAGTCGTATCCCAGAGGGGTGGTAGGGGAGGGGAAGCCAGAGTCCACTTTTGTCAAAATTCATTTTTATTAATAGAAAATAAACACTTATTCCAGTTTCAGTTATACTTGAGGTTGCTAATAAAAAAAAAATCACCCGATCATCCTATTTTGACTACAACAATGAAATTGTGGCTTAAAAAAAAAAGGTATTCAGCACCATTGCTTTTAAGTCTTTCAAATTTTTTTCTTAAAAGTTTCTGGAACTTTCCTGTATGTAAAGTACAGGAATTGCTGAGCTACATGAGGCAGTCTCTGTGGGACGACCAATGGGAAGTTAAGCAATCATCGTCAGAGGAATAACGTACATTCAGCATGGTAACTGGGACTAGCCGACGATCCCCTCCCCTCCAGCTTAGGAGGGAGATGCTTCTAAGCACTGAGGTATGAAGGGTCGTACTGTTATTAGCTGGAAAGACCAATTCTAACCGCAAATAACAGTAAATCTCTGGCACAGATGCTATTGGTCCTTAATGTCCTGTGACCTTAGGAAATTCTGTAAACAGTTTGGATTTAGTTCAATGTATTCAGAAAAAAAATTAAACAATGATTATTAGTAAGGTTCACTACTCTAGCAGAACAAAATCTGCTGGTTTAGTAAAGGATACATATATGTATATAAAGAGTAAATAATAAAGCATACTTAAAAAGACTACATCAAACTAAAATCTACTTTAACAAGATGCCTAGATTGAAGCAGCAGATGAAACTAAATCCAAATCCAATGCCGGGAGAGCTGCCCTCATTGGAGGCCGTGGGGAAAAACAGCACCCGCCCTTGAGGCTCCTCGAGGAGAGGAGGGGAGCACCCACTCCTCATGCTTTAGGATCCAATTGGAGTTGGGCCAGTTATGATTTTTTTTTTTTACTATATCAAGAATTTTTGTTTCTATTTTTTAGAAACAGTAAGAGAAGGAATGGCTTTCAGCATCGGAGAGTAGCTGTGCCCGTCAGAATTTCCTAATAGCACAGTGACAAAGGCGGGTCTGCACACATGATCAGATGTCAGAGGAATGGAAGGTGGACAGCGCAGTCACCCGCAGTCAGAGGTTCTGCTGGCATTTTACTCTAAGCTGTCCACCAAGTGAGGCGAGAATAGTGTGTGGTGGCCAGGACCTCTGCCGGGCCTTTCTTCCTAAGTGGAGCACACGACAGATGGGGGCTTAGGGGAGGTAATGCAGGGAGGCTACGCTCTCCAGCTCAGAAGGAGTTGATGAAGCCCATGTATGCATTCAAGAAGCCCATGGGATCCTCTAGCTGTGGATAGTGGCTAATGTGGTCATCCAGAATCGACACTGTGGACCGCGGCAGCGTTTTCCTAGTGGAAGAGAACAGCATGGAGGTGAACGTGAGGCCGGAGGGAGGAGGAGGGAAGTAAGCCAGAGGGGCAGCCCCAGCAGACGCCCCCGCTGTGTCGGCAGGACCCCGCACGGAGCTGGCCACCATCTACTCTGGAGTTCATCTCAAGCTCACAGCCTTGCCAGCTCCGTTTATGATGTATGCAGACTAGTTTCCGAAATGTTAATAGTCCAACAAGACAACAACAACTCGAAAGTGTAACGCTTGGGCAACATACATTCAAGGCAGGACCAGCTCCCCAGAGACACCTGAGCCTCATCAGACGGGGGCCTCTCGGCAACTCACTGTCCCAGTCAAAGCTAGGAAATGCCCCTCCTGACCTGGAGGACAAGCAGTTGGGCTTGGAATGACATGGGAACCGTGTGCTATTGTTCTTTCTGCTTGGCCGTGTGAAGGTATGGAACGGCCTTCTGGGACAGAGTCTAAGATTTCTTTATTGCAACAGCTTCTGAGTAAGCACCCAGGGAAAATAACCGCCAGGGAGAAGGCACTTCTCCACAGTGAGCTTGCTCCCGTCACTCCCTGCAGTCTGCTAAGCTGAGGTCAGTGAGAGTTAGCATTCCGGAAGGTCAGACCCAAGCAAACACGCCTCAAGATACCATCCCTGCTATGTCCTGGTTACCACAGCCCCCTTTCCCTACAATACACCCATGACTACGTAGAAGCTGTGACAGTGAGGAACAGGCTAGTATGAACTCTCTTAACTTTGACATTTGCAGAAGAGTAGGGGCCCCTACACTCCACCTCGCCATGTTTCCTGGGTGAGCAGGTCAGAGACAGTAGCTGGAGCGACAGTTCTCGAGAAGCAGCGTCAGGAGGAGGAGAACAGAGCAAAGCAGAGGCCAGCCCCGGGGAGACTCACCTGTACAACTCCAAAAATTCCGGAAAGGGGTTCACAGGATCCATTGGCCCATAGATAAAATGAACTGGAAGAGGGAAGAACAATGAATTACTAACAGGACTCACATCTGTTCCCCTACCCCTGCGCTAAAATAACTCTCCTTTTCCCTAGAAAAGACTGTCTTTAGAAATCCCAGATGAAACATAAAACTTGATCCATTGGGGGTTGGCGAGAGCACCAGAAAGTCAGTCCAGGGCTTTTAAAAGGCACTTTGCCTTGCACGCAGCTGATCCGGGTTCAATCCCCAGCACCACATATCGGTCTCCTGAGCCCCACATGGAATGATTGCTGTGTGCAGATCCAGGAAGAAGTAAACCCTGAGTACTGCTGGCTGTGGGCCAAAAACCAGCAACCCAAGTTCCTCGTCCAACTCTCCTATGCATGGAACAGAAAGGAAAAAAGAAGAAAGGCCAGTGGGAACACTCTAGAAAGCCAGGATACTGGCATTCTGGAATTCCTCTTGAGCTGTAACTGACTCTTGGTTCTTGGCATCAGCTAATCCTTCCCTGAGCATTGCTGTGAGTCGAGACAATGCAATGATTTTCTTTTCAACCCTCTAAAAATGGAGAGACAAATGATGAGAAACCTCTCCCCGCCTCTTGCTCCATCACCTACCCAACCTTCTGTGCCAGAGGTTCAGCGTCAATGTGGAGACCACGCCAGCCAAGCCCTGGCTGTGGTAGTGCTCTGCTATAATGCGTACCTCACTCTGCAGTGCAGGGCACAGGGAGGAGCACCAGTGAAACCTGAGTCTCAGATGATATCTTTAGTACGGATACGTCCCTAATAGGACAGAGCATTTATGGAAACCCCTGAGAAAAAAAGTATCTGTTGTTCACATAAGATTCACATTTATGCTACCTGTCTTCTATTTTTGTTCGGTAAACCTGGCCGCTTACTGTTCAGCCCAGTTCCCCCACACAATGGAGAAGAGAAATACTCACTGGGAATGTTTACAGAGGCCAGCGCTCCAATCCAGCGTCGTCGAAACTTCTTCCTCTGGTTGATGTACTGCAAGAGACTGAAGGGCACAGGCGTCAACGCGAGGGGCACCAGAAACCCTTTTCCTCATGGCAGTCACAGCCCCGGACTCGCGTCTCGAGGTATAACATGTTTTTTGGTTTTTGTTTTTTTGTTTTTAATCCCTAAGCAATCGGACATTCCTGGAATGGCCTGTTCAATTGGCCCATTTCTGTGACCCTCTCTCTCTAGCGTGAACCTTCATGCCACCAACGCCGGGCTAGCCAGCTCCAAGGTGTCCCGCACGCCTTGTGACGTACAGAGACTGACCCGCATGGCCTCTGGGTCGTCAACACTACTACAATTCTAAGTGTAGAAACGCAGGCACGCAGAATTCGGGAGCACATGGAGCTACGAATCACATGGGAGAGCCTTCCTCCTCCCGCGCCGCTGCCCAAATCAGACCCAACCCAGCAACTTCAGGACACAGACTTTTGTTAACTTCAGATATCATCTCTTCCAGCTTATACTTGCTATTGGGTCATGGCAGTAAAAGGATTTTTTTTTCCAAATGGGCTGGTATGCTTATATTTCCTTTCTTTTTTGAATATTAAAATTAAATCTTCAGGGATCCTGTGGAGAGGCTGGAGAGGAAGGGAGGAGTGCTGGCTCCCTCTGCCTCCCAGCATCCCAGCCAAGCCAGCAGTTCAAACAAACCCCACTAACCCAGCTGACACACAGGTAGCATTTCATCTCGAGTCGCCCCGGACATCAACAGCTCGTGAGAGCTGCTCCGTTTCCATTTCCATCTATACCGAGGCAAAGGCATCGCTACAAAGGGAGTCTTTGTACCGGACAGGGAAATCTCTGCTCTCGGTCCCCGCTGCTAGGGGAGACTTGTCTCGTTTCTCGGTGGAAAGCCGATACTCTCCAACATGCCCCAAACTCGGTCAAGTGGCCATTCCCAAGGAAATCGGCATTAGGACTCGCAGCTGCTGGTGCACACGTCAGTGCCCCTGGGCTGACACTTGCCCTTGTCTCCCTTGTCCCCGGGAAGTACGGAGCAGGACTGGCGTACCCGCGAGGAGCGGAGCTAAGCCATCCCACACGGCACCTGCCGCCTGGAAATAAGCCTCCCGAGGCCTGAGGGCAGGGCGCCCCTTACCTGTCGATGACCAGGTTCCCGTCGTTGTTGCGGATCCCTGCCCACATGTCCCACAGCTCGCTCTCCGAGGGGCGTGTGTACGGCCCGAAGACGGGGGTGAGACTGAAAGAGGAGACAGTGGGAGAAGAATTCAGAATGTCGAGTATGACTGGAACCCCAGAGGTCACGCGGCCCGACCCATAACTGATTTATGGATTCCTTCTCCTGCTACGCTGGCACATGGCCAACACCTTCGCTTCGAATACCAAGCCCGCGGGTCTGAGCCGGAATTTTAATGGCAGCAGCTTTTCTCACTACGCTGTTCCCAGGCTGCGGTGAATCCGGGACTTACCCTCGAGAGAAGACAAAGAAGTTCATCAGCCGTGTGAGGATGGGTGAGAGCACGCCTCCATCCTTCAGCAGCTGTTGGTACAGGGGTGAGAAGGAAGATTAGGAACTCGAAGAGAGAAGAACCGGGACAGAATATCCCACACTAGCAGCTGAAAGAGGACTTTGGCCAAACCTCCCACTGACAGGTTTGATCACTGGCTCCGAGGATTTTGTTTTGCCCTGCCTACATCTCTCATGGGAGGAAACCTTCTAATTCCTTCTAAAATTACATTCCTGCCCTTCGACTAAATCCCCAAGACTTCACTGACACATTCAACTTGCATTGAGGATCCCAGTTTGTTTAGACACAATGTTGAGACATAACTGTAGCGCTGTATCTTCAAATAGTTGCTGGATCTCTTATTCTCAGAAATAAGGTTTAATCTAGGAACATTTCTATTACTTTATTTGCATGGAAGTTAAAAAAAAAAGGTAACCCATAATAGCAAGGGTGCCAGCATTATTTATGTCAGTTTGAATCTTAGAAGCTAAACATTGTGTCAGCGGAGTGATGCCAACCTTTTGAAGGAGGAGAGGCCGGTGAGTCTCAGGAAAAATACCTAGAAGAGAAGAGACTTATTTAAGTAAGTCATTTACCAAACAATTGAGGCTGCACCTGAGCCCATTATCAACGATCCATGCTAGATACTGTCAACCTTTGGGGCCTCCACTGACCCAAAGAAAAAAAGACTGAGGTACCTTTGTACCTGGTCATGGAATTACTTCTCCATGAAATCCCATGAGGAACAGGTAAAATTGTATCCCACTGGAATTACTTTCCCATTTCAAAGGCAGAGGAAGGAGGAAATAATGGCAAGGTTACCCATCATGCTAATGACTAGGTGCTAAGTCCCCTAGGTGTTCCCCCACCCCACTCCCCCACCACCGCCATTCCTCAGAACATAGATAGTACTGTTCAGGCTATTGAGAGGTTTTCAGAAAGCGTGGCTTCTCTGTAAAACAAAACAAAACAAAAAAACAGAAAACTACAAACTCAGGTTTTCCTCCAGGGTCAGTGAGAGAAAGCCCTGAGGGTGTGAATGACAGGACATCTGCCCTTAAGACAGCAGGGGCCAGGCAAATCTACAGCCCCGTGCTTCAGAGCCAAGACAGTGGCACCCCAAAAGACGGACAGAGGCTCTGATCAAAGGGCTCACTCGTTTCCAGCCACGTTTCCAAACGCATCAACCAAGAGTTTACAAGACAAACCCCAGGTGCCTGACAGGCACCTGTGTCTTCACGTCCGACAGTGACATTAACCGAAGTGCACTTGTTGCAGATGTTCCAGAACAGCATCTGCCGTTCCCAGGCCTGCCCCTGGATCTGGCTATGTTCTCCCGTATCTCAAAGGGACAGCAGCGACTCTGGGGACTGCTTGGCCATGTCAGTATCATTAAGTTCCTTTCTGATTCGATTTATTTAAAAACATTCTAAGAAAGGATCGCTCAGTCTCAGACTGCCAAAGCAGTCACAGCACACAGAGTGGTCAGGAGTCCTCAAAGATCCCGTGGCTGCTGGCGGGGTGGGGCGGGGCGGGGCGTTACCATGCAGATGTCAGTGCGGTGGTGTCGGAGATGGCCCTTCCGGCTCCCCCTCATTTTACCCCACCACCAGGGCAATTACCTCCATTGGACAGACAGAGACTCTTGATGGTGAGCCGGCCAGATCGATTCTGCTTGAACCTAGAAATGGGAGGGAGACCGTGCTAATTAGCACGTATCGTAGCAGAGCAGCTAAAGACAAACTCCCAAGAGAGGGACAGGCTCGAAGGAGCCCGGGAACAAGCAGCTTTTCCCAGTCCCTTCCCCCAGTGAGATGTGTGGGGAGACCAACGTCGCTGGTGGCTTCACTGACCTATAGAGCAGCTCCTGGGCAACGATGTCTCCGTAATCGTGAGACAGAAGGTTGATTTTGCGGTTCTGGAGCCCCAGGTGCCGCAGGAGCGCCTCCACGATGCTGGCCTGCTCGAATATGGAGTAGTGGTGTGGTCTCTGCGGAAGGAAAGCCACATGCACAGGAGGAAGTCATTAGTGCCCATCTGTCTGCCAGCCAGACCCCCCCCCAACCCTCGCCCTTATCTAGACGCAACTTACGGGTTTGTCACTGAAGCCGAAGCCTAGGAAATCGAGGGCAATCACGCGATGAAATCTCAGGGTGAGGCCCTCCCAAATCTGAAAGAGAGAAGGAGAGAGAGAACGTTTGGACTGTCTGCTCCTCCCCTTCTCTCCTCCACCTGCCTCAAGAGAAGAGATTTCAATCCTAACTCAGCATCAACCCATAAAGGGAAACCCCGCCACATGCCCAGAGATGATCCTCCTGGAAAATGCTTGGGGTCCAAAAATTAATCTCGACTGAAGGAGGACCTCTGGCATTTTCAACTTGGCAGTGATCCTTGCCAGACTGCTGAAGACTTTTTTTTACTCCCTTCCAGTAAATGAGAGTCAGTTCTACAGTTAATTCTATCTCATGAAGCAATTCAAATCTGTGAGAGCCTTCCGGTGCTCACAACAAAATCCTTGATGTGGAGTTTTAATGCTTCAGTAAGACCTGAAGCCTGGTTTCATTACCTTGTACCAATCATAGCTGGACGTTGGAAAGCCATGTAAAAGCACCACGATCTCGGGACTTCCAACCACGCCCACAGAGTCTGGAAAGGAGAAGAGACACGTTAGAGGGATTCTCTCTCCAAATAGCCTGCAGAGAAAAAAAATCTGAGCAGCCAGGTAGAAAGAAATACTGCACAAGTTAAAGACATTAAAATTTAGGCGCCAGAGAGATGCTACAAGGGTTAAGGCACTTGCCCAGTGTTCATCCAGCCCCCTACCTTACACAGTCCCCCAGCACTGCTAGAGTGACTTCTGAGCAGAGCCAGGAGTAGCCCCTGAGCATCACTACATGTGGCCCAAAATTAAAATACTAATATTATTATTAATGTAAACTTATGACTTTTTTTAAAAAGGCATTCAAATCTTTTTTTTAATCCTGTATACTGAAAAAGTTATAAAGCACGCTTTATATGAAATACCTGAATTAAATTCATTGACATTCACCTAGCTGTTTTTAACTATTTCCCCATTTATCCCTTTAGAATGTATTAGAAATATGGAAAGTATTTTTCACATTATGGAGTACACTCAAAGCATAATGTCACAACATTTGAAACTCCTTGTACCTTGTCATTTATGACTCCATAAAAATTCTCTAAAATAGAATCCTTTTGAGCACCTTAGCTGATGTTATTTGTCCATCAGGGACTTTTATTTCCCATAGGCAACTGAATCCATTATCAAAAACATGATATTCGGTCCATGACAATAGTCTAACAATTATTAATAAGGGTTTATTGTAGATATGAACACCCTTTAATGCATACATTTTTAAAAATATTTGAGTAGTAAAAATTCAAACAAATGCTTTACTAAAAGTCTTAAATTGTAACTGTTACATTCTCATATGCTGCCAGTGCCAGTATTGCTATCATGGCAGAATTTGGTAATGTGGCTTGCAAAAAATAATTAGAAGAAATTTAAAATGTAATATGCTTTAGCGTGTGCATTTTAGTCTCGAATACCCATGCAAGTAATTGTCTATTTACTATTTTAAAATGGTCTATTTACTAGTTTAAAAATATATGGAAAAAATAAACACATGCATGAAGATTTTCACTCAGCTCTATTTAAAACATTGAAAACAACCTAAATTTACCAACATCAATAAAACTATACTTACTTACTGGAGTCCAATATATGAGAGGCGGTCAGGAGCAATAATGAAAAACGGTTTATGACAAACATTTTTCGTTATTGCTCTTGACCCCCGCCCAAATGATCTTTTCCAATCATGATTCTCAGTTTCGTTACCTGCAGAATGAGGTTAGTGGCATCTATTTCCAAGAACTGTTGTAAAGATTAAATGAACTGACGGAGGTAAAAAGCTTAATTCAACACCTAGCATATGGTAATTACTTGATAAGCAGTCATAACCATAATTACCATTAGCAAATTAATTTATACCAGGGTTTCGGGTTTAAATGACAGTGGTTATGAACATAACAAATAACCTTTATAGAATGTAATAAAGTGAAAAGGGGGCGGGGGGGGGGGGGGGGGGGGGGTGTCGAACCAACAGAAACTCTATGGACCCCGCTTCCAGGACCCGACACTAGGGGCACTACACCAGCAGCCAGCAGCACAAAATCGGAGTCCGGAGGAAAAGGAGAGAAGGTTGAGGGGGGGGGGGGGATCATCAGTTCTGCGCAGAGGCGCATCAGAGTCCCAGCGCCGACTTCCCCTGCTCTCCGGGCATTCGGCTCGGAGAAGGTGGTGGTCCCCCCTCCCACCCCCACACCCAGCACCACCGTCCCTGTTCTCTGGGCCTTACCTTGATAGAAGATGCGCAGCCCCTTATAGGTGAAGAATTTGCCGGATGACTTCCATGAGTGAAGCGCAGGGGAGAGCTGCGGGGGTGGGATGTGCAGGTAGGCTGCGAGCAGGGGCACCGCCAGCAGCCCCACCTGGACCCACCACTCCCTCATCCTGGTGGGGGGAAGCACAGGGCAGGGGTCAGCGAGCAGGGAGAGGGAGCGGGGAAAACCGCAGGCCACACTGCCCACCGCCCGGGGTCACCTCTGGAATTTTCAGGAAAATGCAGGTTATTTGCATCTGCGGTCTTCCCCCCCCCCCCCCCCCACTCTCCAGCACCCCCTCCCCCACCCTCCGCGGCCCTTGGTGTCCTTTTCCCAGGCTGCTGAAGTATTATGCACCTTGGGGGGGGGGGAGGGGGCGGGTTATGACATTTTTCCCCTTCCTTAATATTTTCTCTAAAAGTTCTAACACCTACCCCACCCACCTCTCCCAGGAAATCGTTAAATCTATTTTCTGTATTAAAAAAAATAAGGGTCTACACATTCTTCCTAAGGTTTAGTAAGGAACTAAGAGTAGTAATAGCACATGCCCTCAAGCTCTTGGGTTTCTTTTTTTTTTTTTTAAGGATTCTTCAGCCCGCGGGTCCAAGCGCTGCCTCGCCGACCGCCGCAGTACTGTCGGCGTTGGCGCTAAGGGCCAGCTGGGGGCAGTCCGAGAGGGGAACGCGAGGGGCGCGCTGCTGCGGATCTGCCCAAGCTGCAGATTCTCTTTTTGCTTCTCTGAGCGGACTCTGGGGAAAATGAGTTAAAGGTGGTCGGACGCCCTCCCTGCTGGGAAAGGACCCGAGGGCGGGGGGAGTGGAACTCTGGGTTCGCACCCCTGGACCCTGAAAGGTCCACAACGACCCACGGTGGTCAAGCTCGCGGGCACGAGAGGTCCCGGCCTCTTTCCAACCCCAGGAGCGGGATGGCCACGTTGCGGGGGGTGGGGGGGCACAAGGACCGACCGGTGCAAAGCGCCCGCACAGAAATGCCCATCTACAGCTAAACCCAGCGCATCCCCAGGGCCCATCCCTGCACCCGCCCTACAGGTCGCCCAAACCGTGGCCACAGTCCCTACCCATCTCGGGCCAACTCGCACAATATTATTTTTAGCTCTAAAGCACAGAATTGTGATTCTACAAGGGCCAAAAAGAAAACCTATTTTGCTTTTTTTTTTTTTACGCATCGCTGGGATGTCTTTTTTTTATTATTTCTTTCCCCCTACCTATGAACCTGTATGCCACAGAACAGACGCAGTAATTGATTCTTTCCAGCTGTTTTAAAGGGGGCGGAAGGAAGAAGTAACCCAAAAGTGATCAGTGTTCACCCCGCCAACAGAGGCAGGCTACACCCCCAGGATCTCCTGGAACAGATGAGCCGGACCAAAGTTTTCTCGGTGCTATCTCTGTTCTAGGCGTCGGCGCCCACGTTTCCACCGGGGCACTTTATCCCTCGGGTGAGGGCGGTGGGGGGTCCCCAGGCTCGGGGTGTCCATTTAAAGACTCCAACAGCGGGATATCTGCGATGACTCAGCAGAGGGCCAGGGAGGGGCTGCCCAGCAGCTGGCGGGAGGGGGCGCCCCCTCCCCGGCCTGGCCCGCCCAGCCCCCGCCCGGCGGGTCCAGGGGAACAATGTCCAGGCTGGCTCCCCCCACCCCGCCGCACGTCCCTCGCGGCTCACGCCAAAACCGCAGAGGCGAGCGTGCGTGCGTGCGTGCGTGCGTGCGTGCGTGCATGCATGCATGCGGGAAGCCTGCGTCTTCAGTCTTAAGGACCGCAGTAGAAAAAAACGCCCCTTAACGACAACTTCGGAGATTTTTAAGTAGGGCAGTAATTTGGCAGGCAGTGGGCGAAAGGTTTCAATTTTTCTTTTTTTTTTTCTTTTTTTTAAACCAAGATCGCCAGGGTTTGGTAAGCCACGAGTCGAGAGCATTGAGTCAACCCTAGCATCAAACCTTCTGGAAACGATCAACCTCTCAGGGCCCTTCATTTTCTTTATCGTGTGAGCTGCAATATATATATATATATATATATATATATTTTTTTTTTTTTTTTTTTTTTTTACAATATCCCCACTCTTACAACCGCCGGACCCACAGCCAACAATCTGGTCGCAACGTGACGGCGGTCTGGGCTTGGCGCCATCTCCTGGGTTCCGTGCTGAGCGCTGAAACATACTTACGCCCGGCGATGGGACCGGTGCCCCCTGGTGCGGCGGCCACTCCCCGCGCCGCGGGTCTGCCAGGCTCCCGACTGCGGCAGGCGGGGCAGCGCCGGCTGAGACCCACGCACCCGCGCCCCGCGATGCGGGCTAAGAATCCTGAACAGCGCCCGGGCGACGAGTGGGGTGCGGGGTTCCGCGGTCCTCCAGGGCGGACCGCGGGTGGAAAAAACCGGAATCGCGCAAGGGTGCCGGATGCCAAGGGTCCCGAAAAGCCGCCCCTGCCGTGGGGAGGGGTGGTCGGGGGGGAGGGAGTCTAAAAATCGTGGACTGCACCAGAGCCACGCTCCGGGTGGGGGGGTGGGGTCCAAAAAAAAATCTTAAATTGCACCAGGGTGCGCCGAGGGTCCGAGATTCCTAAATCATATACCAGGGTGACTGCGGGGTCTAAAATCCCTAAAAATCGCGCACAGGACAATGCCGGGTCTTAAACGCCTAAATTGGCGCCAGGACCAACGGCGAGGTCTGCAAGTCCTAAATCGCGCTAGGGCAATGGCGAGGTCTGAGAACCCACAAATCGCGCAGGACATTGTCTAGGGTCTAAAGACCCTAAGTCCGCCGGGGGTAGGGGAACTGAAAAATCCTAAATCGTGCCAGGGCGACGCCGTCAGGATCTGAAATCCCCAAATGGCGCCAGGGCGTCGCCGGGGTCCACGAACCCAAACTTAACACTAGGGTTCCACGGGGGTCTAGTTAATACCCCTGTAACGGGACAAGCGCCCCTCTCGGTCTGCAAACCCCAAGTTAAGTCAAGGCAGAGGGGGGCGGGGGGGACTACAAAAAAAAAATCTCAAAACCGCGCCAGGGTCTTAAAAATCCCTAAATGGTACCCGAGTTCAGAGCCGTCCACGGCGCGCGGGGGGATGGGGGGCCACCCTCTTTCGAGCGGACAGAGCGGGCTCCGAGAACGTGATTGCGCGCACCACCACCGCAGACCGATTTCCATCCTCCCCTTCCCGCCCCGGGAACTAACCACGGCCCCCCGCAGCCCGGCTCAAAGCCGAGGACCCCCCCACCCGCAGGCGGGCAACCCGATCCCGATCCTGATCCCGGGAACGCGGCTGCCCCGAGCGGCCACACCCCCCTGGCGCTGATCGCCGCGCACCCACCTGCGGAGGCGATCTCGGCGCACCATGGCGGTATCCTATCCCATGCCGTCCGCGCTCCCACCCCGGGCACCGGGCGCTGCGGCGCCCGCAGCCACGCACGCAGGCTGGCCGCCCGCAGCGGGCCGCTGCCCACAGCCCGCGAGGGCGGCGCCGCCGCGGCAAGCGCCGAGCCACCGGGGGAGCGCTGCGGGGCGTGCGGGCGCTGCGGCACTGCGCAAGGCGCGGCTGCCGCAGAGGACTCGCTGCCCGCCGGGAGAAGAGGCGCCGGGGAAGAGCTGGTGGCCGCGCCAGCGCACCGCCGGCGGGCACCGACTTTTAGAGCCCACCGAGCCCCGCCCCTGACCCGCCCACTGCGCCGCTGCACCCCCCTCCTGCCGCAGTCACCGCCCCTCCCCGCCCCCCCCTCCCTGCAGCCCCGCAGCCGCTGCGGGGCGGGGGTGCCCCGCTCACGGCCCCTTCTCCACCGGGCACCTTCTGGGGTATCGCCTCCCGCTAGCACGACGCTGCACACACACACACACACACACACACACACACACACACACACACCCCGCAACACACAAACCCCACGGCTCCCCGCAGCTCGGAGTCCCAGCTTCTGCCGCAGTCGTCCGGCTCCGGCCGGGTTGCTGCAAGATACCGAGATGCATAAACCCCTGAGATCCCAACACGCGCCCCACTTTAGACCGCTCGCCGGCAAAACCCACCACCACCCCACGCAGGTGGACCGCGGACGTGCTGGGGTTCAGGGAGGCACGATTGGGGCGCCTGCTCCCACTCCACCTCGGGTGTGAAGTCCGAGGCCGGACCCCAATCAACGATGATGGCCCGGTCCTCAAACGCCCGACACCTCTAATTTAGGTCCCTAACTCCTGGGGACCACCAAGGGCACGATGACCAAGTAATAGGGAACGGCCCGCCTGGCTGCACCTACCGAGTTCATGGGCCGATTCTCGGCAGGGCTGATTACATGGGGAAGGGTGGGGGAACAGGGGGCAAAACTTTTGGAAAGTAGTGTGGGTGCTCCCGGTCCGCCAGCAGCGCGCCACGGCAGCCGGCGTTTTCTCTGCAGCAGCATGACGTGGTCCGCAGGCCGGAGCCCCGCCGCCGCCACCGCCGCCACCACCACAACCGCGGCACCGGCCCAACGCCAGAACAGAACCATCAGCACAGGCTGAGACTACATTTTCCCCCAATTTATGGGAGACCGAATCTCCGATGCAACGGCTTCCCGGTGGCACGGGAAAGTGGGAAGGCATGGAGTTCCTGTTCTTCCGCCCCGTAGACCGGGAGGGCGCATTTCTCGCGCCTTTGGAAAAAGTGTAGAGAGAATCACGGAGACGTCTATGCTCATTTTTCTCATTGTAAATTGAAATTCCACGGCGCGCGCACACACACACTCACACACACGCACACGCACGCGCACGGGCTGCAACGGAGCCAGGCGGCCAGAACAGTGCCGGTTTCCTCCAGTAGGGGCGCTGTCGGCCTCTCTTCCAGCCCGCTGCCCGGGCCCGGCCGCAGCCCCGCGCGCACGCGGCCAAGTACAATTCAATTCGCTAGAAGCGGGTTCGCGGCATCGCCCACCCGGCCACATTGCAAATACCACCATCGACAAGCCCGTCACCAAAACGCAGGGAGGCAATCCCGAGAGCAATTTTACTCGTGTCCGAAGGGTCGGGAAAACAAACACTGGTTTTAGCACCTCGGGCATGCTCACTTGCCCGCGCTGCAAAAATGAAAAAAAAAAAAAAGAGAGAATGAGCCCCGGGAGTGAGATGTTCACCATCGGGTACGGCAGACACACCAGAACCGAGGCTGCTTCAACCCCCCCTCTCCGCCTTTCCTTCCCTTGGCGACATTTTGTGACAGGTCCCCCATCCCCTCCTAACGAGTAAGGCTCTCAAAGGCTGAGCCCAGGCAGTATTCACCTTTTGTGTTCCCAGAGCCCGCCACGGTGCCGGCCACAAAGCAAGGGCCCTAATAAATAGTGCATGAATAAGTACAAGAATTTGAGGGAGCACAGGGGAGGAAGTAATTAAGGGGAGGGGGATGGGCTGTCTCGAATGATGAATAGACATTTACTGGAGAGACAAAGAGCATTCCAACCTGAACCGAAGACAATCGCAGAGCTCCGGAGGCGCAGGGCCGCACAACCTCTGCGGGAACCGCGAGTCCTTTGCTCTGCGGTGCAGACAGGACAAAATAGAAATTAAAAAAAAAACCTTATAATGGGGTAGTGGGATGCTAGAAAAGGTGTTTCATCCCAAGGAGCTTGCAATATCGGGGTGGGGGTGGTGTGTGAGAGAGAGAGAGAGAAGCCGCGGTGGATTTAGATCCTTTATTATCTAAATTGGTTGCTCGACCAAATTTCCATCCCATTCACTTCCTAAGTGGCAGGATGGTCTATTTTAACGCGCCACCAGTGCCTTTTACGGAAAGGATTCCATAGCAACACTTAATAAAAAACGGTCCTTTCCACCAGGCAAAGGCTTCCTCCACCTCTGCTCGCGACCACGCTGAATCCCCTCTGTGGGGTCGATGTGTTTTTGCGTGGATGTGTTTTCAATGGGACCTGAGGTCCCACCCGAGCAATTCCACGCTTTCGCTCTGGCCGGGAGCCTGCATCCAAGAAGGGAAAGGCGATTTTGCGCTGAGCGGACCGGGCGCACACAAAGAACCTTATTCTGCGAGCGCCGCACACGTCCGCCCAAGTGGAACAAGTGGGCAGACGGCGAGAGGGGACGGGAGTGACCACCGGGGGAAGGAAGCTCACAGGGCACCAGAACGCTCAATCTGAGAAAATCCCACACTCCAGCCCGGGGCCGGGGCATGTACCCCGCGAACCCGCCTTGCGATAGAGCAGCGCGGGTGGGGTGGTCCCCGCGGAGAAGGAACCCGGAGCGTGAGAAACGCAGCAGATGCGGAGGGAAACCTGTCTGGCGGGAATTTGCTTCCTAAAAGAGTCACGGGCGAGAATGCAGGTGGTGGTCCTGGCCCCAGGAGCGGAAGAGTTAATCTTTTTTTTTTTCTTTTTCTAACTGTGCCTGACTTCTAGCGAGCAGCTTCCTCCACGAGAGAGAGAATCTGGCCCAGGGTCTAAAACACTCGGAGTGCCTGAGAAAACATGCCACCAGACATAAATCTCCCAGCGGCCGCTGGCCGGCTCTCAGTGCACCCTTTCAGTTCCCGGATACAGACCCTCACGCGGGCCGCACGGGGGCCAGTAGGCTTCCCTCCCCTCAAGCTTTTCAGACAGTCCTGCCACATTCCAATTCTAAGACAGCCATGGCTGCACAAGTCCCCGGATTTGTGCAAACATGCAGGCAGGAAGCTCTGCATTGATTAGCTTACTAAGGTACCCCAGCGAAATGAGATCCACAGGGCTGATAAGCCGGGCTTCAATCATCCTGTTTTTCAAACTGCAGTTTAAAACCAAATACACACACACACACGAGACCATGAGGACATCGGGCAGAATGGGAAACTGCTACTTCCAAGCAATATAATGATGAATTCAAATAAACTACAAGAAGTTAAAGATGGAAAGAAAACCGGCTGAAGAGTGGTGCTCCCTAGACATTGTGGGGTTGTCCATGCCATAGGACTCTCAAAAGCCACTGTCGGCAGTAAAGTGAAATGAGAGAAGCCCCCAGAATTCACTAATCCTGCTCTCTCCTGCTAGTTGGACCTCACAGAGAGCATCTGATTCTGTCCTATGGGGTAGACAGGGAGAGACACACATCTGCAAACAAGAATTTATTAAAAGAAGATCTGCTAAACTGCCCTGCAAATGCTGTCACTTGAAGGTAGAACAGCTCTGATATTGCACGGATCTTCACCCAAATTAGTCCTGATCCCCATAATCACTGGGCTAGATGAGGATTTTCATCTATTCACTCCCTTACAGACACACACAGACACGCACAAACTCACTCTCTTACACACAGACACACAAACACACACACAACACACCACAACACACCACCCCAGGGAAAGATACAGCAGCTCAGGCAGAAGTGTTAGCATGTGAAGGGGCTGGGGAACTGAACCCAGATGTCTGGCTCCAAAGCTGGCCTTCTTTCCACTGCCCCACACTGCCTCCCTGTTTAAAACCACTGGGCATGCTAAGTTGGAAGAAAAGAGCCTTATGGAGTGAGTGGAAGGAGGAAATGTGTTTGTGGCCTTCAAATATTTGTGGAAGCAGCATTAGACATTTTGCTCCGTATGGCTCCAATGAGTGAATCGTAGAAACGCAGATGTGGATTCAACATACAGAATCTCCTAGTGGTTGGCAGGCCCCGGGCTAAGAGCAACTGAGTGGCTCTGTCATTTTGAGGGGGACAGGTCCCTGTCACTCAAAGCTGGGGAGCCTCATGGTTGGTATGCAGAGGCTGGGTAGATGTGGAAGTGAGTGGGTTTTAAGGTCTTTTCCCACTGATTGACACTAAGGTTGGGAGGAATAATGCAACTTAGCACAACTGACCCCATGAGTAAGGAGTCAACCTCCCCTGCCCAGCCATCAGCACAGAGCCTTTGTACCACTTCACTGGAAGGACCAAATGAAGAAACTATCAATACCATCACATCCGGCAAAGTCCCTCTCACCCAGATTGAACCAAGATATTCACTCCAAAAGTGACTCAAGTCTTTCTTGCGTTTCTGCCTCATTTTGGGTTAAAAAAAATTTTTTTTGACTGCAAAGAGTTTAAGGGCAAATGGTAGAAGGGAGAAGAAATTGAGCTGAATAATCATCTACTTGACTAGACAAAAGGGAACCTAAGGGAAGCGAGCTCTTAGGCTCATTACCAATATCAAGGAACACCCCGAAGTAGTTTACAAAATCCTCTGCACTGCCCGGCGCATCACACGTATCAGACACTCTAGCTTGGGGTCTGCCCCCACGGATACCCCTTCCCCAGCCTGCTCAGTGCCACTGTCACAAATCCTGAGATCGGGCGATTGGAAATAAAATCTTCCACGTTTACAGCTCTTTTTACCTTTCACCTACATGAACTAAGCGGCTCACCACCGCTTGCTAAGGAACCCCGGGTCTGTCTTTCTATCTCCTAGCCGCCTGGGGAAGAAAGCGCGACAGCACTTTTTTTTTTTTTTTGGGAAAAAAAATTTTTTTAATTAAAAAAAAAAATTCCTTTGCACATTTGAGCCTTCCTCCAGCCCGGCGGAGCCAAGCCCGAAGCAGGTGTTCAGCTGTTCCTTGGCTGCGCTGTCCTCTCGCACCTTCTCCAGCCGTCCGGGGCGCCCCGCC